GATCCTTCGGGTACGATCTCTGGATTGTTAAATAAAAACTCGCCAACTTAATTTGCAGTTTCTTTCGTTATAAAGAATTAATCTAAATTCCTTTATTTTCTCGGTAATTCACAATTCCATTATAATGCACTTTACTATTTACAATCACTAGCATCAACTTTCACAATTTACTTTTTTAAATGTAATCTCCAACGCGTTTACTTTACCACTTTACTGATGTAACTGACTTGACTTGGCAGCTGAGTGTCCCCTTTTATAGCAGTCGGCTGCTCGCAGACGAAAGCGTAGAAGCATCGAATTGTTTGCTATGGAAGGTTCTTGTTTTATCGTTTCAAGAATGTTATAGTTATCGGCTTCTCTCTTTCATCTGACATTCGCCTCGCATTTTCGCAACAATATGTATTTGAACAGAGTCATATGTACATATTGAATATAACGCAACGATACCTAAATTGCTTTCGTTTGAATTTGACATATGGTTTCGTTGTATTGCATACTATTCGTAATAGAGAATGTACGTTTCAAAAACATATCAATCAGCTGTTATTGTTTGACTTTGTGTTCCAAATATGTAATACAAATATGCAAACGATTCGTGTGTGACACGAAACGAACGTTCGCTTCGCAATACAAAATACGGCTGTTAATAGAATGTATCATAAAATTCGTTTTAACAATAAATAAATTGACAGCTGAAAATTTTAAATAATAAATAAAATAGTATTTCGGTGTTGGCATTAAAATACATTTTTTTATGGAAAATATGGAACGCGTTGACTATCTGGCTGCGTTGATTAAGAGGCTTATTTATAGGGAAAGAACATGGCGTACACAAATAATTTTTTTCAGAAATATGATGTAGTTTTTATTCGTAGATTTCGTCTTTCCAAAACTAGTGCAAAAAAACATTTTGTAAAAAATAGAAAGTTAAATTAGAAGCCGCTCTGAAAGGTTTGTCAAAATAATGTGTTTTGGGTAAATAAATATTGTTGGTAATTTTTTTTGATTCTGTAGAAATAAAGCTGAGGAAATTTGGCTGTTAACATTACGTTTTTATTCATCGGGAAATGTTTTGATTTGCGTTCCGGTGGTGGGCGAGATAAAAGTGACCACTGTCAGTCGGGTGGTAAATAGTATCCATTGCTACCGCGGCACTTGTCCGATGATTCCTCAGAATACCGAATAAAGCAGGGAAGCTGAAAGTACAATGCGCATATTTCAACGAATAGCGAACTTTCCAAAGGTTTTGGGGTGTTTAGATTACACTCATGTTAGTATCCAATCACCTGGGAAAGAAAATGCAGAAAGTTATCGAAGCAGAACGTAATGGACTTTGTATGCAGGTGACCTGGTTCTGGACATGATAGAATTTTTTTTAATAATAGCTGTATATCGAGAAGTTATGGAAAGTTCAGAATTTTGTCGCTTGCGCTAACGATTATGCGGTTCTCTAACTCAGTTTTTACAATAATCGACAACGGTCATTTTTATTTTATTAACACGAAGGAAAGGTGACACCACAGCTTAACAAACCCTCAAAATATGCGAAGAGCACAAAGAAGAATGAATTTGTAATAGAAATTATTTTTATTACATGAATAGCAATGCATTTCAAACTTTATTAAATCAAAACCTTTTTATGGTTTGCACTTTCATGCATGGCTCTTCGCTCCATAGTGGTGCTCCAAATAAAATAATTGTGCCGCGCTCTTGGATACTTGGCATTTGCCTACATATGTATCTATGTACCAATATGATGAACTTTGTAACTTCAATAGTAATTGAAAAAAATTTACTCTCACCATTTGCTCTTGGTAGAATGGTATTTATGAAGGTTGACATATGGTTCTCGCAATCGATAGCCCCAATACTTCCTCCAGCAAATGGCGACGTACAGGATTATTCTGTCGAGGTAACAAAATTGACCTAGGTATTAAAATTAACCATTCA